GCGGGCAGGCGCGCCTTGGGCACTGGTGAACTGGGGAATCACCTGTAGGGCTCGCTCGGGCCCACCACCAAGCTCCGAGTGACGGGCTGCTTGACACAACGGGTCGCGGGGCTGCGGTCACGTATGTCCTAGGTCATACATGACTGGCTCTTCCGGACACTTGGAGGATCATGAAGTAAATAACAACCACGAGGAAACACCCTGTCCCTGCACAAGATCAGGCCCCTCGCCACGCGCGGGAGCAGCACGCTGGCCGAGCTGGTTCCCAGGAGCCGAGTCGGGGAGAGGCCCACGGGCCTGGGGTGTCCGAGGGGCGGTGGCCGCAGGGCCCGGGTGTGAAGCGCAGAGGGCCGCATGGACACGAGTTCCCCCCAGGAGGTTCCCCGGAGGACGGTCACTGAGGACCCGCGACACACTTTTTACCACTCCCGGCCAAGTTTCTGCCATTTCTGGTTCTTTTCTTTACGAATCCTTCCTATTTTTTAATGAACTCACCATTTTTACCTAAATCTGTGTTGGAAGGAAGACGTCTGTGCCAAAGTGTTGGTGTGAAAGCTAGTCCTGTCCCAAACTGAGCCTGCCCGACACCCTGTCTTCGAAGGGCAGAACTGACGAGGGAATAACCTCCCCCTGTGAGTGGATGCCACCTCCGTCCAGTCTGGACCCCTCCCCCGGTACCCGTGCCCCCAGCAGCAGGGGGGGGGGGCGCAGTGCTTTGGGGCTCGTTGTCCCTGCAGCGTCTGTTGACCCCGATGAGGAAAGACTCTCCATCCCTTTTGTTCCCCAAATTGTTAGGGGGGTGAGCCCCCAGCACAGGGGGGGCCACCATCATCTTTATGCGAAGCTCTCCGTCAGACCTCACGGACGGCCTGAGGTCTCTGGCTCCGTTTCATAAAAAGTGGAAAATTAAGTTTACGATGTTGTTTCCTACTTCATGGTGTCATACCCCCAAAAAAATATTGAGGGGGGCTGTAAGATGAATAAAACGTAACAAAAACCAGCTGATGACTAGACCCCATGGGCTACACAGGACGAAATTAGGGATGATGAGAACTCTCTGGAGGAGGTGATCGAGAATGTTCAGCCAGCCCCGACAGACAGCACAGCCGCGGGTCCGGGAGGGGCGAGGAGCGGGCTTTTCTCCCGTCTCTCTCCCCCCTTCGTGTCTCACAACCGCCGGCCTGTCACTCGGTATTCAGGGCCTGCACGCAGCGGCGGGAACGCAGCGCGATGTCATTGCCCACTCTCCTGCAAGCCAGTGTCGCGCGCGTTTCATTGGAAGGTTTTCCCAGGAATCGTGTCGGTTTTGTAAGTGGGCAATTTGCTGTGGCCCAGAGCGCGATGAATCTATGACATGAAGTGCTAATCACAGCTTAAGCGGCTCATTTCAGGAGTGACTGGGCTGCGTTTCTCAGATCCGCATGCTTTAGAGCAGCCCCACCCCGCGCGAGGCCCCGGCTGCGGCTGCGGCATCTCCAGGCGGAGGGTGGCTTCTTACAGCAAATGGTATTTTAATCTTGGGTTTCTGTGCGAGACCAGCCCCGTCAATGTCAGAGATCTGCATAACTCACTTGTAATGAGCTCCAATCACAAAAGCGACAACTTAACGATCGCTTGTTGGGTGTTTGTAGTGTGAATTTTTTTCCAGAGCAGCATTTAGAGAACTTTCCGGTGCTTTCAATAACACTCACAAAACTTGACATCAGAAAACCATTTTGTTGCCTCAGGTACTAAAAACAAAAACAAAACAGTGTTTAAAGCCATCTCTAGAAGCCATTAAAATTTAAAAAACAAAACTCACTATCCCATTTCTTTACGGAGTCCCTGATTAAAAATACCCCAAATCCAAATGAATATGGAGACCATATGGTCTAATCCTCAGGGAGAAAACAAAACCTTGCTTTTTCTGTTTTTTATTTTTCTAGGAAATGTAAATATTTCTTCACTGGCAAAGCCTTCGCTTCTCTGGGCCTCAGTTTTCTCCCCCACGAAGTGGGGTAGTCCCACCTGGAGGGGAGGCTGAAGGAGACTTAGGGACGTGCTCCGTAAAATGTGCTGACCTTGGCGCTCAGCCGGTTTACAGCAGATGCGTCAGTGACACTGTTGTTGCCTCAGGCCAGAGCTGGAACATCAGGGCCCAAATTGGGGGCTCTGGTCCCAGCTGGGACCTCACCCCCGCCAGCCAGATCTGGAGCTGCTTCCTCTCCTGGGGGTCAGAATCCTTGTTCTTGTCCCCAGGGCAGCTTTCAGGAAAGAAACACAGGAAGGAGGAGAGACAGAGACGGCGGGATCCCCCAGGAGCGTGGAAAAGGCCAGATCCCCCAGGAGCATGGAAAAGCCTGCCTGTGATCCTTCACTCCCTGAACCCCCAGGCCCCCTCCTGGGGCTCCCCTCTGCCTTTCTGCTTTGTGTCTTTCTCCCTCCCTGGGGCACATCCCAGAGACACTCAAGGGAGACCCCTCTAAGAAGTGAGGGTCCCCCATGGCATCCAGAGCCCGCAGATAGAGGCAGCAGTGGGGCAGGGGTGCCTGCCGACTCTGTTAGGTGACATGAAGTGAATCCAGAGCCAGAAGTTCCCAAGTCTCTAGCAGAGGAGACAAAGCGACACCTGGGGACTCACCGTGGTCTTGTAGTGGCTGAAACAGGGCAGGGGACGCTGGCAACGGCCGGCACTTCATCCCCTGAGCAGCTAACCCAGGCCAAAGGAGGATCCTGTCTCCCCAGGGAATTTGGGGGCCTGAGGAGCTTGTGGGAGGCCTTGCTGGGAGCAGTCTCTGCATTGCTGCTAGAATCACCTCCCAGGACAGGGGCCAGCTCAGTCCTCTGTGGCTTAGACATCTTTGAGTCTCCCTGGAAATGCAAACGTCTCAGCTTGGGGTTCAAGGCCCTTCCCAGCCTGGCTCTCTCTGGTCTGAGGATGTTTCAAGGGCCGGCAGGTGGCTGGAGGGAGCGGATGGAATTCAAGTATCTGACCTGCTTGTGTGGAAAGCAAGTCGTGAAGGTAGAACAAGGAATTCTGATAGGAGGCAGGAGACCAAGGAAGTTATCAGGCAGCCTGCAATCAGGAGCTCACAGGAGGGCGCGAGGAGCGGCCAGCCGGGGACAGTGGACTTGGCCTTGTCCTGGCCGTCGGGGAACCGTGCAGGTTTACACCACGTCGTAGGTACATTCTACCTCCTGCGCCAAGTGGAAACCGTGCTCCGACTCAAAGTTACAGGCTGAATTTTGTTGCAGGAGAAAATTATGGGGACTCGAGTAGAGTGTCCTCTTGTGCTGGCCTAAGACCCTCTTGGGATCCCCAGAGCCACCCTTGTTCATCTTCCCGTGATCCTTTTCATGGAAATCCACATGGGGCCAGTTCACATGGGTCAGTGAGTGGATTCTTTACTATGGTAAACAACCAATACACCCACTTCCTCTACCCACAGGCCTAAAAGTTCCCTCTCTACTGACTGTTCCTTAATGGGCAGTGCCTTTTACACAAGACTATTTCACCTGCGTTGGTTCTTCAGTAAGAAACATCACATGGTGGGAGAGGGAGGACTCTCTGGTGGCGCCAAGGGGTTAAGACGCAACACTGTGAAGCTATCCACTGCCACTGCAGCACGAGTTCAATCCCCAGCCGGCAGGGAGCTACCCACATGGCACAGCGGACCTCTCCTGTCTCGCCTACTGCTCCCCTCAGCAGTGTATTTCAGTAGATCCTCCTGTTCTGCTCCCCACTCTGTCTCTGGTGAATCCTCTTACCACCCCCGCATCTCTGGCCTGCACCCCAGCTCTTGTATGCATAAATAAATCTTTAAAAAAAAAAAAAAAAAGAAACATCACATGGTCTGAATTGAGCCTTCTAAAGGCTTCTGTTTTCCAAAATCTGTTTTCTGCAGCTCAAGTGGAAGGGTCAATGTCTCATATCCTTGTCCGAGCAGTGAAAAGTAGCCTCGTGTTACCAGTATCACCTCCCGCCGGAGTATCAGTTGCTGTGCTCGCCTCTGGACCCCTCCGCACATCACCTGGGCTCGCAGCTCTGCATGACCACTCCCTGTGGTCACGGTGCCCGTTACTGTGGCCATGGGCATGAGAGTCACTGATGGGTTTGGAAAGACACAAATTGCAGGCTCCCACCCACCCCACCCCCACCAATTTTCTGCTTGGCCCAGATTTCACAATTCTAGAAGTTTCCCAGGTAATGCGGATGCTGCTAAACACACTTAGGAAGGCAGCCAATCAGAAAGGACTAGATGTTAGGTCTCTAACATGAATTTCTGCCAGATAAATTCTAAAACGTAGGGCGGAGGGTGAGAAGGACACTTGCTGTTACTAATTGAACTGGCGCACCAGGTGTGCTTATAAGTCAGACGGTGGCAGTGCCTTTGCTCGGACTCGCCCTGATGTGAGTGTTAGTTCAGGAAGATGTTGAGCTCAGTCGGAAGGAGGTGGTGATTCTTGAGTGTACTTGTGTGTCGCTGATTGGGCTGGGAACCTTCCCTGACTGGTAAACAGCCATCAGTTGAAGCTGGGGTCCTGTGAACCTCAGAATTTCAAGGGGATTGGATTCTGAAGATGGAAATGCCCCCGTTCTAGGCTGCAGGAACTGTTTTTATTTAAAATAAAGAATTCTAAGGAAGATATTAAGAGTCATAGTTGACCAGGTGACCTGAGCTGGGGCGTTGCTCACTCTAAGAAGAAAGAAAAATGGACCAGACCCAGGGCCGTGGTGTTAGTTTCAGCAGTAGCTCAAGTATCCGGAAGGTAATTGAACAGGCAGTATTTTATTTTAATAAATACCGTATTATTCTCACCCTGCCACGTCCTCGCATACCACCGAAGCCTCTTGGAAAATGACATCTCCAGCCCTAAGCCTTGTCAAGCCAGTCCGGCTCAGCTGCAGGAACACCTCCAGCGGAGGACGCCTGGACACCGACTCTCTGCATCAGACACATTTGACAGCTGGCCCGGGTGAGTGGGGCAAGATTTTTACTTTCTCTTTCTTTTTGTTTCAGAGACAGGGAAGATTGAGCAGGAGATTCACAAGTACAACACCCCCGGATTCACCGGCTGCCTCTCCAGAGTCCAGTTCAACCAGATCGCCCCTCTCAAGGCGGCCTTGAGGCAAACCAACGCCTCCGCTCACGTGCACGTCCAGGGCGAGCTGGTGGAATCCAACTGCGGGGCCTCCCCGCTAACCCTCTCCCCCATGTCGTCCGCCACAGACCCCTGGCACCTGGATCACCTGGACTCAGGTAACATCTGAAGAGTAGGGGGCAGAATGCTTTGCTTCTTTAAACCTCAGTTTCCTCCTCTGTACAGTGGGGTTAATAACAAGCTCGCTGGTGATGCAGGTGGAGGGTTAAGGGAGGGAAGGGACGTCAGGGGCCTGATTCACAACCGTCCCTGTTGCTCGACGCCAGAACACACCCAGGGGGAGGAGCCAACATCACAGCCGGGCAGTCTGATCAGATCACACCCTCGCCTTGCCTTGAAGGCCCCCTCAGTTTGCAGCTTCGGACCAAGTTCTAATATCAGAAGAACTTGCCTGAAGCATTGCAGACATTCAGCTCCTGGTGCCATCCCGCAGCCTCTCAGATGCTTCATGGGGAGTTCTAGCTCACAAGGCCCCGTGAATCTAGTCCTGCTGCCTCAGGAGAGAAGCCCTGTCACTGGAGAGCACAGGCTGAAACAAGAGGCTGTAGCTACTGGCTGCTGCACTCACTGGATGAAAGTGCAGGGTCCGCACAGCACCCAGTGGTGGAGCACCCATAGGAGCTACTCCTCACCACTTTCACATGGACCTTGGGCAACTCGGGGAACCTCCCCAAGCCTCTGCTTTTTTGCCCATGTGGGGACAGAGTCGGGTGTGAGTTCTCAGTGCCCTCTGAGTCCATATGGGTCAGCCAGGCACCGCATGCTGTTGCTGATGCTGAGGCCAGAGAGAGGCTGGGTGGGGGTGAGGCCTGGTTCCCACCCCATCACCACCTCTCACCAGCAGTGGCACCACCTCCTTCCAGGCAGTCAGCTCAGGGAACCCCGTGTGAGAGCCTGTGTAGAAAGCACTTAGCGGAGCTCGAGGTGCTTGGTGAGCTGTAAAGTGTGGTTCTTGTTAGACGCAGCTCGCTGTGATGCCTGCAGGTCCAATACCACTTCCACACCCACCCTCCCTGCCCATCTTGGAAACACGGTGCCTTGGATTGCTTTGCACACACCCCTGCCCGGGCATGGCGTTATCGGCTTCCAGGCAGCCCTGCCGCGGTGACTGCTCGCCAGGATCTGTGCAGCGAACTCCGTGAGCTTTGCAAGGAGCCCGAATTGCCCCTCGTCAGAGTAGCCAATTTACAGACTTAACAGTCCTCTTTGTTCCTCACCCATGGATTCCTGTGCTACAATGAGGGGCGCTGTGTGCCAAGGGCACTTAGGAAGAATCCCCTTTGTAAATGCAGGGAGGACCAAGCAGCGGGCTGGTGTCCTCCTGGGCTGGCTGGAACAAAGGGAAGCCTTCCTGATGCTGAAAGACAAAGCAGAAGTGCGAATCTGCGATGAGAAAAGACATGTCAGGGCCACAGAGGCGCAGAGACGTGGCAGAGAAGTTCCTCCCAAAGCCGGAGCGGACGAGGGAGGCAAGACTGGGTCGTTGAAAGGCTCAGTCGTCTGGGTTGTTCCAGGGCCCCCTGCAGAAGGCCACGCGTGCGTGGGATCTGAGTCAGCCACCAAGAAACTCGTCTCTAAAACATCTAGATGCTGCGTTGGGCCAAAACACGTCCCTATTCAGCATGCCAGATTAGCAGATTATTTTATAGGCTTTATGGTCTGTGAGATGCATTTGTAAGAGCCCACAGTGCGAGTCCGTCTGTCTTTTACATTCAAGGTTTGTGCAGGACAGCCCCATTCTCTTGATCGAAATAAGGAAACGCCTGTAGGGAACCCTGCTGATACCAACATTCAGGTAAAATTCTGCAGCCCGGAGATTACAGCAAGCCTGTGCTGTATCGTGTATGTTCCATTTGCAGAAAAATGTCCACTTGCCGGGAGGTATTGCCTGGTCTGACCAGTTGTGTTGATGGAATCATATACCATCTTTTCCATAATTGGGGAAATACCTATGAAGAAATATGTATCAATACAAATAGCTTTGTATTTTTTTTTTTTCATTTTTATCGAAGTAGCATTGGTCTACAACTACCTGTAGGTTTCAGGTGGACAGCATTGTAGTTCAACATCCGTATATGCTACATTATCAACTCCACCAAAGTCTAGTTCTTTTTTTAAAGATTAATATATTTATGCATACAAGAACTGGGGTGCAGGCCAGAGGTGTGGGGGGTGAGAGGATTCACCGGAGACAGAGTGGGGAACAGAACAGGCAGACTGACTGAAATACACTGCCGAGGGGAGCAGCGGGTGAGGCAGGAGAGGTCTGCTGTGCCATGTGGGTAGCTCCCTGGCCAGCCAGGGATCCAACAGTGGCTGGTGATAGCTTCATAGTGCTGTCTTTAACCCCGGTGCCACCAGGGAGGCCCCCACAAATGGGTTTCTAAATAAACAAAGGGAGAGAACGTTTACATGGTGCTTGTTTGTAAAGGTGCCAGAAGCAGTCTCTCCTCTGGAGCCTCTGGAGGGGGATTTGTGGTGGGTTGACCTGGGTCTCCTTCCCAGGAACAAACGCTATGCAAATGAGGAAACTTACCCCGACGATTTCCCAGAAGTTTCTACCTTTAGTAACATAAGGGAAACTCCAAAGAGATTTCTTTCTATACCAGTTGTATCCCAAATGTCTTCAGCCTAAAATCATCTCCCCCAACTCCAGGGATTCTGCCCGGGTCCCCACATCAGTAACAGCTCTGTCATGTGAGCCTGATTTTATTCCGAATTCTGATGTGAGGGGTTTGCTTTTTTTCAGATCATCTTCCATGTGTGACTAGAGTAAGAATTCTTGCTATCAGATATTCAGAAACCAAACAGCAGTGTGTACACAAACATGTCATCTCTAGCTAGAAAGCATGTGTTTCCTGAGTCTGTGTAAGAATGTGGGGCAGGAACAGAATGGGGCGAGCGCTTGCTGGTCCTGGTGTGAATAGAAGACATTTGAAGGAGGCAGATGGTTCACGCAGGGCCGTGGAAAGGCAGGCCTCAGAGAAGCTGCATGAATGGCTCCTGGGAGCTTGTAGAAATGCATGTCAGGCTCCACCCAAACCCATCGGCTCCACACCTACCTTGTAGTGAGATTCACGAGTGACTTAACAAGTGCACCTGGATTACCTGGGGGGCTTTCAAGAGTCTTCAGTATCCAGGCTGCCCCCTAACGAGTGAAATCAGACCTTCTGGGATGGGCTGCAGCTGTCCATATGGCTGAAGCTGATCCCCGTGTATAGCCAAGGTTGAGTGAGACTCACTCGCCAATAAGAAAGAGACATACTTAGAGGCCCCTAGATGTAAACCTTTGCAGGTTACCAAAAGAATAGAAAAGTAAATACCCAAGTAATGAGCACAGAAATACCTGTTATGAAAAACCACGAAGCCTTTAGGAGGTGAAGTCACAAATAGAGTCTGCAGCAATAAGTTTGCCAAAGCTTGGGGTCCTCTGGCCATTTTATAAGGAAGCTCACCCAGATAGGGAAGTTTTTATCTCAGCTCCAGGAGAAAGGATCTGGGTACTTGCAACTGGAAAGAGACTTGAAGCAAAGGAACAAGAAGTCCACAGCGGGGGCCCAACTCTGGCTCTGAGGAAGGTCCATCATCCTAGAAGTTGCTGTACCCCAGAAAGAGCCTCCGTTTGAAGTGGATGTCAAATTATTTAAATTATTGTTCCATTTTTTGAGTCAGCTGCAAACTTAGCTTGAAAAGATTTTTTTAATGCTGCCTTAAAATGGTCATTTCTACAAATAAATCATGCCTCTTGTTGAAGTATTAAAGGGGTCCCTTGGGTCACTAGCTTCATAGTCAAAACAGGGTGTTTGCTTTGCAGAGACCTGGTAATTAGAATTCAATTAGAATTCATGGCATTCTTCCTGCTCCCTCGCTTATATTTTAGATGACTGTAAGTGATGAAAAGAGAATGTATTCCAAGGTATGCTGGCTTCGTGTGATAAGATCCTTTTCTCTTCTGTAATCCTGCTGACTGAGCCACTCTAATGCCTTTTGGGCTCTGTTACTGTTTTCCAAAGTGAGGGACATTTACAGTCGGTCAGGCTGTGCACTGCACAACTCCACAAGGCCATTTGCCCTGCCACCCGTGACTCCTGGAGCAGCGCCACCTGGTGGTCTTGGTAGGGACTCACCAGATCATTAGGCAAAGAGTTGGCATTCTAGAACGTAATGTAAACTTACCTCTTGTTCATTTCTCTTCCAGTCCTTTTTATAATAATTTGGTCAGAGAAAGTGACTGTTTGGTTGCGACATGCCTTTAACAGGTCTCCCACCCTTACTGCCCCCCTTGAATAAGGAGAGGGTGACCTTCTGCTCAGAGGCTTAACAGGCAATAGAATTACTCAGCAGGGTTATTAAATTAAAAATTGCATCAGTGGGCCTCCCCGGTGGCGCAGTGGTTGAGCGCTGGGTTGCGAAGCTGCCCGCGGCCTCTGCAGCGCCGGTTCGATCCCCGGTTGCTCCCCAGCCACCGATGGAGGGTCCCACATGGCGCGCAGACCCCTCCTGCCGCCCGCTGCTCCCCTCAGCAGTGTACTTCGGTCCCTCTGCCTGCTCTGCTCCCCGCTCTGGCTCTGGTGAATTCTCTCACCCTCCTGCGCTTCAACAATTAGGTTCTGCATGAATATGACCAAAATTTGTGAAGGTCTTCCCAGGGAGTGGGGTTCTGTACCAAACCAGGCAGACAACAGGATCCTCACGAGTGTCAGGGCCAAGCCAGAAGCTGCATTTTCACAGGTGGAAATGATAAACGAAATGATGTTGCTTTAAACCAAAGCTGCAGGATTAGAAACATCCAGTCCATCCTTTTTCTACCTTGTTTTTCCCTTTGGTAATAGGTGCAGTCCTTCTCTAAGGCATACTATAATGACTATTTTCACAACAGTAATTACAAGGTAGAATAAGTCACCCCCAGCCCTTCCATTGACCGAGAGGTCACGAGCAGCAGACAGGTGCTGGATGGACCTTTCCAAGGTATGGGTTTGTTTTTTTTCTCTTTGTCAAATCCAGGGAATCTTGTGTCCTTGGAATGGCAAGGATTTGCCAGCAGAAAGTCGATTCCAGATGGCAGTGCGCTTTCTGTAAAATATAAAGGCACAACAAA